GGTGCAATACCAAGATGAACTCTAATGTAAAGTATGGTCTCTGGGTGAAAATATTGTGTCAATGTAGGTTCATTTATTATAACTAGTGTACCATTCTGGTGAGGGATGTTGATAACGGGAGAGACTATGCATATATAGGGGCAGAGATATGTGTAAAATCTCCATACCTTTTACTCAATTTTGCTATGAACCTAAATCTGCTCTAAAAAATAAAATCTACTTGGCCAGGCACAGTGGCTCTTGACTATAATCCTAGCACTCTGGAAAGCCAATGCGGGTGGGTCACTTGAGGTCAGGAGTTTGAGACCAGCCTGAGCAAGAGGGAGACCCCCATCACTACTAGAAAATAAGGTCTACTTTAAAAAGTTTTTTTTTTTTTGAGAAAAAAGGAATGAAAAAGATTATTTTCCCTACTCCCCATTAGACAGAAGAAAATGACACCCACACCATCCTGCCTCCTGTTTTATTTCCCACAGATCTTGTTTCCATCCACACCTCTGTTCTCTTCCACACCAATTCCAGGGTCCAGCTTCTCAGGTCTGGGTCATTAATGTCAAGTGAAGCCCCACCCATACCATCCCTCAATGGCCAACCCACCATCACCATCACCATCACCACCACAGCCTTATGCAGCCTCTGTCAACCAGGGATGCTTTTATTCCCTGAAAGAAGAAATTCAAGGATGAAAAATGCACACATTTCCATATCCTCATCTCCTCCCACCCATGTCTGTATGCTAAAGGGGACCCTCATCTATCTGAAACTAAAACTAAAGAAGAGGACCATCTCCATGGGAGTGGGGAAAAGACTGAGGGATGACTGCTCTTTGAATGAATGATGTAACAGTAAAGAAGAGATCCTGGAATTTGTAGAGTGCCGCTCTAGGGAAAAACTTTGCACCACTATCCTGTCATCACTCATCTTGCACTGGTATCTCCCTACCTTAGACCTTAGACGAGTCACTCAACCCTTCATTTCAGTCTCCATCTCATAAGTCATCCCCTAAATCCACCTGCTCACGGTTTCCTGACTCCACCTAGTGACTCTCCACACTGTATCTTCTCATTGGACCTCACCTTGAATGCTCTATGCCCCACAGGATTCCCCAGTGTCTGTCACCACAGGGGTAAAGGGAACTGATTTCCTTCTGTAAACCTCCTTTCCCAAATCCTTTCTCCCAAGCTCCTTCCCTCATTACCCTCAACCCATAACTCACAACAAAGAAATCCAGTATCCCTGAGGGCACACAATTAGGCTGCCTCACTCCTCCTGTGTGCTGAGGATTCGCAGTAGAATATTGTATACATCCTGTTCCACGTAGCCCTGTAGGTGGCAGGAAATAAACACATGGAAATGAAGAAGGAGAGGTTCTATGGTGTAATAGAATGCTCTTTACTATATACCCTCATTTATTTATTTTTATTTTTTTTAGAGACAGACTCTCACTTTGTCACCCTCAATAGAGTACTGTGGCATCACAGCTTACAGCAACCTCTAGCTCTTGGGCTTAGGAGATTCTCTTGCCTCAGCCCTCCAAGTAGCTGGGACTACAGGCACCCACCACAACACCCGGCTATTTTTGTTGTTGTTGTTGTTGCAGTTTGGCCAGGGCCAGATTCAAACCCACCACCCTTGATATATGGGGCCGGTGCCCTACTCACTGAGCCATAGGCACCGCCCTCATTTATAGTATGTAAATTCTCTATGACTGTGTTTCTATTTTCCCAAGGAAGATAATGATGTCTACTTTGCAGCATTGCTGTGAGGGTTACAATGATGACTATGAAGCAAAACACCTGCTACAGAATAGGTGTTTCATTCATTGTAGTTATTATTCTTAGCAATAGATCAAGCCACCCACTTCTTCTTCCTTGATTTGAGCTAAACTGCCTCAGGAGGAAACTAAGAAAGGGTGTAGGGAACCAGAAAAGGACTTCCAATAGATCAGGGAATTGAAAAGGTGAGGTAAACACCTTTCACCTTTCTCATTCATACACAACCTCTATCGATCTACCCAACGAGATCCAGAGACCTAGCACTGGTTTAGCACTCTGAGAAATGGCAAGTATGTACAAGGGACCCCAAATGCAATACTCCCTACCCAGATCTACGTCTCTACCACCCAAAGGGACCCCAAATGCAATACCTCCTACCCGGATCTATGTCTCTACCACCTGCCTGTATGCTCTCCATACTCACCTGAGCAGCATTCAGCAGGTGATTCCTATAGATAGCGATGATCTCTTCATGGTTCTTCTGGGACTCCTGGGAGTAAGCATCATTGGGAAGTCATGTGCCCACCCTCCCCATACTCACCAAGCCGGAAGGGGCAATAAAGTGGAAAGGTCACCCTTAGCAGGTAAGCTCCCTTGGCCCTTTACTGGCCAGCCTCAACCACTGCCTGGCCAGGTCTCTGTAATCCCAGAATGTCTCTCACATATATAAATATATCACTTCCACTCCATCCTCTTCTTTAGCAGTGTCCATTTCTCTAAGGACCAAAACATACCTGCAACTGCAGGGCAAGGCGGGCATTTTCTCCCCGAACTGCTAGAACCTCCTCTGAAAGCTGCTCCAACTTCTTCAACAACTCCTTAATCTGAGGCCAAAAAGAAAGACAGGGAACCAAAAAGGTCCATGTCATTTCTCTTCCAAATACCACCCAGGGTCAGGGACAGCTTCCTTTTACGGAGTATGTATATGTGCCAGGTACATTTACAAATATTGTCTCATTGAATACTCAAAACAGCTTTTCTTCTGGGAAGAATAACACTTCCCTGAGGGAAGTATTATTATGCACATTTTGTAGATAAGGAACCTGAGTTAAGTATTTTGTCAAAATCACATAGCTAATAAGCAGTGATGAAATCATCATTTTAACCAAGATCTCTTTGACCCAGGGTCCATGCTTTGATTCAGGTTACTGGATCCTAACCTACCTACTTCTGGCTACCAACCACTGAAGGAAAAGATGAGTAATTGTGGCTTGTGGGGGAGGTACAAGTCCTTAATGGTAACCAGCAGTAATAGGAAAGGTAGTAATAGAAATAACAATAGCTACCTTTTTAAGTACTTACCATGTGACAAAAATTGTTCTGAGTATTTTAAATAATCATAGTATCTTTTTTAGGGTAATGTTCACAACCACCCTGTTATTATCCTCATTTTAGAGATGAGAAAACTGAGGCTTGGAGTTGTTAAATAACTTGCCAAAGATTAAACAAGTACATTTTAAAACTGAAATTCAAATCTAGATGTTCTCAATCCAGAGGACATTCTTTTTATTTTGAGACGGAGCATCAAGCTGTCGCCCTGGGTAGAGTGATGTAGCATCACAGCTCAGAGCAACCTCCAACTCCTGGGTTTAAGTGATTCTCTTGCCACAGCCTCCCAAGTAGCTGGGACTACAGACACCCACCACAACGCCCGGCTATTTTTTTTTTCTTTTTTTTGGTTGCAGTTGTCATTGTTGTTTGGCAGGCCCAGTTCAGCACTGTGAGAGGATGAATTAGAACCCACCAGCTCTGGTGTATGTGGCTGGTGCCTTAGCCACTTGAGCTACAGGCGCCGAGCCCAGAGACCACATTCTTAACTACAACACTGTATTTTCTTTTGCCCATTTGTCTGCTTCCATCTTCTCCATCAGTACAACACAAAAGTCTTCCTTTCTTTAATTAATCCCACCCCACACTTATTCCTATTCTGGATAACATTCTTTCTATTTCTGTGCACTCTATACCACATAAAATGTATACTGTTTAAGTCACTTCCTTAGAGCCTCATCGAAAACACAGCAACCCATTCTTCTATGCTGCTATGAGGCCTCTTCCCAGGTGACAAGCTATTTGAGGTAAAATGCTGGCTAGACGCAGTGGCTCATGTCTGTAATCCTAACACTCTGGGAGGCCAAGGCGTATAGAATGCTTAAGCTCAGGAGTTCAAGACCAGCCTGAAAAAAACCAAGACCCTGTCTCTACTAAAAATAGAAAAACTAGCCATGTGTTGTGATGGGTGCCTGTAGTCCCAGCTACTCAGGAGGCTGAGGCAGGAGAATCTCTTGAGCCCAAGAATTTGCGGTTGCTGTAAGCTATCATGGCAGGGCACTCTACCCAGGGCAACAGAGTGAGACTCTGTCTCCAAAAAAGAAAAAAGAAAAAAAGAAAGAAAAAGAAAAAGAGCTTGAAAAGTAATAAATATATTTAAAATTTTAAAAATAGGGTAAATGCTAATAAACTATGGTGCTACACCGGTGGTAGCCCTAAGCACACAGCTTCTAAACTCTGAATACTAAATTTTAGTATTTACACCCCCTTCTCTCATCTGTTCATACCTTATCTCACTTCCAGTCTCAATGCCAATCCCTCTCAGACGCATAAGAACCACGTGGTGTGGGCCCCCCGCAAATGACTGGTGCTCTATTTGGGGTATTAATTTGGCCAACCAAACGTTGCTGGATTCAGGTTAGCAACACCCAAACACTCACCTTGGCCTCCTTGTCTCGGCAAGCCCCAATCAGATGCTCCATCTTCTCTTTCAGCAGCTCAGCTGTTTTCTCGAACTGCTCAGATCGCCCGCGCATCTCCCTGGCCTGTCGCTCCTGCTCGGCAGCCTGCGCTGCCAGGTCCCTATTCCTGCGTCGCTCCTCCGCCACAACCTCCCGCAACCGACCCATTTCCTGGCAGGCTGTGTTGTATTTTTCCAGCAGAGCCTTCAGCTCCTGACCCCAAGCCTGGGATTGGGCCACTAGCGAGCCCCGAGTTTTCTCGTGCTGCCGCAGGCTGGCCGCCTCCCGGGCCCTCAGCTCTGCCACCTCCTCTGTAGCCTGATACAGCAGCTGCTTGAGCTTCCCAATCTCCTGGCTCTTTCCGCTCATTGTGGCCTGAACAACTCGCAGCTCTTCCTCCAGCTTCCCTAGGTCTTGCTCCAAAGCAGCCACTTGGGGGGGTGCTGGGGGCTTTGAGGAGGCACCTGGCTCCCCACGGGGGGCCAGGGACCCCCGCAGCTGCTGGTTCTCCTCCTCCAGCCGCGCCAGCACCTGCTGGGCCTCTCGATGCCGGTCCACCAGGGCGCCAATGCAGGCCTGCAGCTCCTCCAGGGGCTGGGCCGCTGTGCCCCACTCACTCCCCTTGCCCACCAGGTCTAGGGGCAAGCAGTCCCACAGCCCTCGAAGGCTGCTGCTCTGGGAGGCCAGGCGCTTACGCAGCTTCTCTGTGGCCTCCTTCTCCACGGCCAGTTCTTCCGTCAGTAGCCCCACACTCCGCTGCAACTGCTGCAGCTGGACCTGCGCCTCTGGCTTGGGCACAAACTCTCGCTGTAGCCGCTGGCTCAGCGACTGCAGCTCCCGCTGCAACCTCTGCCGCTCGCGCCCCAGCTCCCCCAACTCCTCCATCAAGTTGCTGTTGCTCAGTCTCAGTGCTGACACTTCCTTCTCCAGGTGACCCTTTGCCAAGCCTCCTCCTGGGGTCTGTTCTCTTCCAGGGGCCCCTAGAGGCTCTCCTCGAACCCCAGGAGACCTCTTCTCCTTCCCCTCATCCTCTTTGATGCTCCCTAGGGCTGCCTTTGGGGCTCCCTCTCTGGACTCCTGGGCAGGTTTCACCTGTAGTCCTGTCTTTGCCCTATCCAACCTCACCAGCACCCGCTCCAACCGGGCCTCCATTTTCTCCCAGGCAGCTGCTGCAGCCTCAGCCCGGGAAGTCCCCAAGGCTCCCTCCAGGATTGGTCTTGATATAGCACCCCTGGCAGCATCCTTTTCTCGCCAAACTGCAGCCAGCTCCTCCCTTAGTTGTAGCAGAAGCTGGTTCATGGCTGCTGTGCCCACTGTTTCAACCGCTATGCCTGCTGTTTCCACTCCTGGGACCTGGGGATTCTCCTTCTGGCCAGTAGGCAACTGTTCATTGTGATCAGGGTCAAGGGTCTGTCCCCCATTGGTAGTCAAATGCTGTCCTGTGGCTTTTCCAGTGGTCTCAGACCTTGGGCTCTGGAATAGCCCCTGTTCTTCTGGTTGGGACCTTCCATGGACTTCATATTGGGTCTCTCCTGGGGCTGAATCCTCAGCTTTCTTAGAAGCTAATGTTGGGTTGACTATGGCTGCTGCCTGCTGCTGCTTCTTTAGTTCTTGTATACACTTGGCCAGCAGGTCCAGGGGACAACCCTGCTCCATGCCATCCCCTCCAGGCCGAAGACTAGAGTCCTGCCTTCCAGGAGCTGCAGGCTCCTGGCATAGGAGGAGCCCTAGCTCCCGCACTTGCTCTCGAATTTGGTTCTCCAAGCCCAGGTAGGCTGCAGCTTGAGTCTTACACTCCTCTGTTTTTCTCACCAGCTCTTGCTCCAACTGAGAAACTTTCTTCTGCTGCTCTTCATACTTCCACTTCCACTCCTCTGAGCAAGGGTTTGCATCCTCCTCTTCCTCCCGGTCCTCCTCAGGCTCTGCTCTCCATGGGCTCTTAGGTGGAGAACCCACCTGGGACTCAAGTGGAGAGGCCTATGTTGAAAACAGAACAATGAAGGAAGGCCATGCAACAAACCTAGCCTAAAGGCCCCCAAAGGGTCTTTCCTCTCAGAATGTCTTGATGCTCCAAGGACCACTGGGAAATGGCCCCACTGGGATAGCCTAGGGGTGACCTAGGCTATTCTAGGGTAAGTCAGAAGCAAAAGAGACACTTAGGGTCTTACCTTAGATGCAAAATCTGGGCATTGAACTAGACTTTGACCTATAAGAAAAGATATGAGGGAAATGAGTGAGAAAACAGATCTGTTGTGCTTCTTACCCACACTCTATCTTCCAACTGAGAGGAGTGGCCCTCCAGTGACATCTCTCACACCACATGTCTTCCGGGTACCAGGAGCCACCCTTGGTCAATGGGTCCCTAACTACCCAGCAATTTTTTTTTCCTATGCCAAAGGAGGGCCAGATCATTCATTTTGTTGACTCATTTATATATTGGTCATTGTGCCAGGCACTGTTATAAGCACCAGGACCTCAATGGTAAGCAAAACAGAAATGGCCTGTCATTAGTCTATGTGAGGGAGATCAACCAACAAATCACACAAATAGATGCACAATTACCACTCAGGAATGCTAGCAATAGCACTAGCTGGAATTGTCTTTGGTGAGAGACAAGGCTGCATTAAGGAATTTTATGACCATGCTTTTGGGAATTTGGGGTCATCTCCTGGTAACAGCAATAAAACAGTAAACATTCAATCAGGGTAGAAATTATCAGATGAATTACTTCCAGGGGAACAAATGGGATTCTAAGAAGTTTCTTTTTATTCTGTTTTGTTTTCTTTGAGACAGAGTCTCACCCTCTCTCCCTGAGCTGGGTAGAGTGTCATGGTGTCAGCCTAGCTCACAGCACCCTCAGACTCCTGGGCTCAAGTGACCCTCTTGCCTCCCAAGTAGCTGGGACCACAGGTATGCATCCCCATACCCAGCTAGATTTTCTATTTTTAGTAGAGACAGGATCTTGCTCTTGCTCAGGCTGGTCTCAAACTCCTGAGCTCAAGCAGGCCACCAGAGTCGGCCTCCCAGAATGCTAGGATTGCAGGTATGGGCCACGCCTTAGAAGCTTCTTTGATTCTATGGCTATTGAGGAGAATCTGAAATTACAAAACAGCCTTTACCACCTCTCCGCCGCCGGTTCAAGGCCTGCTGTAGCAGCCTCCACAGTGCCTCGTCCTTTGTGTGCAGAGCATAATGCAAAGCATCATGCCCTGTTCTGTCCACTGCCCCTGCATCTGCTCCGTGAGCCAGGAGCAGTTCTGCCACCTCAGCACTGCCTTTCTCACAGGCCAGGATCAAAGCCGACCTGTAGGTGGGGTTGAGACAAATCTGAGCAGAGGCTTTCCCTCTGGAACCCAGGAGTCCTGGTTCCAGAAATTTCACTTACAGGGCAAGCTGTCACTCAGTGGGGTCAGAGGACAACAGATCAACAATATACCAGACTGGGCTATTCAAATGCCATTCTTTGGAGCTGCAGCATCAGGAAGCAGGTAGCCAATTGGAAATGCTCCATTTTTATCTGCTTTATACATCAAAGTTCTACATAAATTTTTTACGGCAAAAGAGGACCTTCTTGCTTAGAAGATAGTTTGAAAATCAGTAAATTAAGCCACTGGGTACAGAAATATCAATTCTACTTTAGGGATCATCTATGCTAGAAGGTGGCAGCAGGCAGAGCTCTTCTGAACCACCACTGGGAGGAAAGGGAGTTTCTAAGAACACAGAGACCAGCCTGCCTTCTTCCCTAACACAACACACACACACACATACACTCTTTGCCCATTGGCTTTTTTCTAAATTGGTCAGCATCTGTAAGTTGGGGTAGGAAGACAGAGAAGGCTCACTTGTCATCCTTGTCTGTAACATTGACTCGGGCACCTCTCTGCAGCAACTGTGAGCAGATTGCTGTGTGACCGCCCAGTGATGCAATCATCAGGGGTGTGCGTCCATCCTGCACAGGTCGAAGGAAGTGCTTCATGAGGAGCCAGGGAGAGCCAGGGGCTTGACACAGTTCTGCTGACTCCTCTCTCCCCACACCCCTCCAGATCCAGGGGCTAAATATTCCCTTTTGGAGGGTTAGAAGTTTTCCGAAAGATAAGGTTTAACCTCTCTATGAATAAGAAGAGAAGCAGGAGGGGAGGGAAAAGGTGAGTGGGGCTGCACAACCCTGAGTCACGGAATTCAGCAAGCAAGCTCAAAGAGAGCAGCAGCCTCCCTGGGTAGGGCAGTGCCCAGATGCCCAGCTGACACTCACATTATCCAACACATCCAGGAAGGCTTCATGGTCACACAGCAGGAGCACACTTGAAGCACAGCCAGAGGAGGCTAGGGAGGGTTGAAGGATGGTTGGATTAAGGGGATGAGCAAAGAACACCTATTCAGACCATGACCCAACATCCCCTCCAACCACTTCAATGGTTGGTCCTAGCTACCCTTCCCTCTCCTCCCCTTCCCTTCCCCACCCGGTAGTCCCTGCAGCCCTGTTCCTACCAGTCCCCTGGCACACACCTGCCCAGTGCAATGGACTACGGTTTTCTGCATCCACAGCATCTTCATTAGCACCATGCTGCAAATGGCCACAAAGGGAAGCAGCATGGAGCTTGGCATTAATATTCTTATCCTATACCCCCTGTTGGGTTGCTGATTTCCATGATAACATGGGAAGGGGCAGGAGGGCCAATGTTCTGGGAGAGGCCATCTACCAGCCAAGCCCTATTCATTCCATGCTAAAGATAGGCAGCCTTGAATTTTAGCCCTGGATTCTAATCCTAGGGCCTAAGAAAAATGACATACTAGGCAAATAAACACATTAGGCAAAATGACACCTGAGTCCATGGCTGGTACTTTAGAGTCATAATTTTGAAAGCTGGAAAGGATCAAGAAGAATAAAAACATCCAGTTGTCCAATGGCCTGTTAAGGTAACTATACCTTTTTCACTTTTAGAGACTGGTTTATAAATTGTCCATATGTTATTTTGTGCTTATTTCTCTTTATGCTAGCCCAGGTGACAGATCAAGATTCTCTCTCAAAACGAACAAAAAACCAAGCAAACAACTACAAAAACAGACAGTAAGGCTTTAATTTGAACACCTCTGCCCTCCTTCCACCTGCCCCTGGTCGTAGCTAGCAGTCATCTCTGCAGTGGCTCTGCCAGTGGAAAAGGCCAATAGTCCCTGGAAACTCTGCTTTGACCCACCCTCAAGGGCAGTATCAAGTATGGTGCCTGCACATAGTATGTGTTAAACAAATGTTTGTGAACAGATGACTATCAGCTCTCATATACGGGGATGAGAGGAATACATTTGGCCAACTATTATTTGTAAATACCAGACAAAGGAGACTCTGGGTCCATTTCTTTCCCTGACAAGAGTAGTATCAGGGTTTGCTCTTACCTGAAGTAGGACCTTGACACACTGTGGCTGACAGGAGATGGTAGCCAAGTGCAAGGCAGTGCTTCCTGGAAACAGAAAGAGGGAGGGAGGGTGGGTGGCCCCATGCATGCAGATGACTCACAGGGAGGTAAGAGACGCAAAGATAATCAGGAGATTAGAGAGAGAAGCTGTCAGCCACACTGGGCCAGAAATTCCTGTTCCCCAAGTACCTGGTACCTGTGATGAAGGTGGGAGTGGGGGTGAGGTATGCCCAAGCTTACAGGGAGGAGAACCCTTGGAGGTACGCTGGCCAGAATTTACTGAAGAGAAAAGTAAAGGTAACAGTTGGAACCTCCAGCAGGGCCCAGCACTGGCCTCCACAGCTGCTACAATGGGACAAGCAAGCGGTGTGGCCCAGTGCTCAGTCTAACTCACCATCCTCATTCTTGCTGTTGATGTCAGCCCCATTTGCAAGCAGGATAGTCAGACACTCTGTCAGGCCTTTGGAGGCTGCCAGATGAAATCTGCCAGAATCAAGGCCAAGAGGCAGAAGATGAAGCAAAGAAGGGCTGAGGAGTGAGACAGTCTTACTATGCACTGCTTGCTATGCTCCCTACCCCAAAGCCAATCCCTAAACCAGAAAGGGACGCTCCCCCAGCCTGACTTCCTGAGAAAGAGAAGGCCATATATCTGTCATAAAGTCAGAGGAAGCTGGAGGCATAGATAAAAATAAGAGCTACAGGTCTGTCTCAGCACCCATAGCACAGTGGTTATGGTACCCAGCCACATACACTGAGGCTGGCGGGAGCCCAGGCCAGCTAAACAACAACAACTGTGACAAAAAAAAAAAAAGCTGGGCATTGTGGCGGGCGCCTGTAGTCCCAGCTGCTCCAGAGGCTGTGGCAAGAGAATCACTTAAGCCCAAGAGTTTAAGGTTGCTGTGAGCTGTGATATCACAGCACTCTACTGAGGGCAACATAGTGAGATTCTATCTCAAAATAACCAAAAAAAAGAGCTACAGGTCTGGCTGGGCTTGGTGGCTCACAACTGTAATCCTAGCACTCTGGGAGGCCAAGGTGGGTGGATCACTTGAGCTCATGAGTTCAAGGCCAGCCTGAGCAAGAGCGAGAACAGGACTCTGAAAAAAATAGCTGTACGTTGTGGTGAGAGCCCATAGTCCCAGCCTCTTGGGAGGCTGAGCCAAGAGGATCTTTTGAGCCCAAGACTTTGAAGTTGCTGTGGAGCTATGACTCCATGGCACTCTACCAGGAGCAAGAAAGTGAGACTCTATCTCAAACAAAGAAAGAGTTACAGATCTTAAGGAATCTTGGACTTTATGGCTGAGGTATCTAGGAAACATAAAATTACCTCCCTCTCTGAGCACAGAACATTTAGTGGAACTGAAAGTGTCACAGAGTTAACCAGAGTTGAAGGCTAGACATGTGAAAACTGATTTGGGCAGAGACAAGATAACATTTTCCTTATCCTCATCGCTCCCTCCAGGCATGTACATAGTAGCCTCTGTGGCTACTATCTCATTTCTAATTTGCCAAGCATACATACCCACTTACTTGTACAATAAAGAAATGCTCTATTTAGTGTGTGTATTTGTTTTCTGTTCATTTAATAGGATTTATGTACTTCTTGAGTCAGTGTTGTCTGGGTTGTGAAGTAGATGGAGCTCAGGAACCTCACTTCGTCCCTCACTTTGTGTAGCACTCCACAGGTAGCAAAGGTCTGTGGATATGCTTGCTATCTAAGACAACAAAAAGTGCTCTAAAGTTGTAGGCAATCTATGGTCTGATATATTGAAGTCTGGGACATTCCAAAGGAACCACATTCCAGAGGCAGGGGTGGGAGCACTTACGGGGACTGGCCATTGGAGTCTAGCTTGGTGGGCCGGGCTGACTTCCTAGACGCCAGGGCAGCCACGCGTCCCACATCCCCCTGCTGCACTGCCTCCAGCAGCTTCTGATCACGACGGTTCCATCTCTCCACCTGTGTGAGCCACAAATTGTGTGAGTACAGGGAATGGGAGTGGTGTGAAGAAAGAAAAGAGGGACATAGTTAGGATGCCAAGCAAGAGAAAAGGAACATCTCTGGGTCCTTTCACTGTTCCATAGTCATTCATCCCAGATCATTTAGTCCTTCTTAGGTGGGCCAGCTAAATAAATATTAACCAACAAATATGCCAGCTAAATAAATATTAACCAACAAATGCCAGCTATTGTCAAGTCTGAGCCAAAAGGTGCCTGGACCAATGAATTAAAAATCATTTATGAGTCCCAAATACATAGTATTTAAATCTCTATCATCATTATGATTAGTGTCGTTAGGTATCCAACCTCAGAGCAATCCTAGCCACATCCCCTGTTCCTTTTGCTCTCTAGGCCAGTAGTTCTCAACCTTCCTAATGCTGCAATGTATTTTCATTGTTAAAAAGGGGTTGTGACCCACAGGTTGAGAACCAGTGCAAATTGAGGCCACCTGACCATTACTAAGTGGACTCACATTGTATCTGCTGCCCTGCCTTTTGTTTTCACTTCTTTGAGTAGTAAACCAAGGCACATAGCTTCAGGATACAGGTAGGACTCCAAATACCTACTATACCATTCCTACCCATGGGCTTGGGCTGCAAAATTGGGAGGAGAAGCTAGAGTTTCTGTTTGCTCATGTCATATCTATAGCCTTCAGCTAGTCCCACTTCCTTTTTCATGGCAACAACAACAAAAAAGACACAGATAGGTCTCTAGCTATGCTTGAGGAGGCAAGAAGAGGCAGCTCCCCTTGTCCCCACCCCACTCCCAGTGTCCCTGGCGGGGAGCAGCTGTCCCAGACAGCAGCCACACCTGGGCATGCATTGTTCTGTGGTTCCAGCTTGAGTTTTGCTGGTGGTGGAGTCATTACAATAATTGAAGCATTACTAGGTGTGAAAGAGACGCCCGGAAGAGCCTGGTTTGGTCCAGAGAAGGGAAAGGAAAAAAGGAAGGGATCAATGCAGAGATCTGTGGTATGGTGAAAGGACCCTAGGTGAATACTTTGTCAGCTGATCTAAGTTTGGGGCCTGGGTCAGCTATATTCTCAGCGATGTGAACCCAGACTAGGCCATTAAACACCTCTAACCTGTTTCCTCATCTATAAAATGTGGGTTAATAATGACTACCTCATCACGTTGTGACTATTAAACAAGCTACTGTATATAAAAATCTCCTTGTAAACTGTAAAGAGCCACACAAATGTATGGCATGCTTACAACAAAAACAGCAAGTAGTATGGAATTGGTGGTGGCACGTTGAATTTATGAGGTATAATCTCTAACAAGAAAGAGGCTATAGGCAGGGCAAGGGGGATGAAAATAGGTCTGTGGAATCCCAACAACTCATTTTAAAATACTGTTTACATAGCCAGGGCAAATTATTGTTGTTGTTATTGTTAGTATTATTATTGTTATTTTGAGATAGAATATCCTCTGTTGCCCTGGGTAGAGTGGTGTCATAGCTCACAGCAACCTCAATCTCTTAGGTTCAAGTGACCCTCTTATCTCAGACTCCTGAGTAGCTGGGACTATAGGCACCCGCCATGAACACATAGGAAGTTTTTCTATTTTTAGTACAGACAGGGTCTCACTCTTGTTCAGGCTGGTTTCAACTCCTGGGCTCAAGGGATCCTGCTGCCTCGGCCTCCTAGAGTCCTAGGATTAATGGTGTGAGGCATCGCACCCACTCCTTATAGCTAGGGCAAATTATTAATCAACAACAGGAAAGATGCTCACACCATACAGTTATCTGGGTTAGATAGACCCTGAGGTAATACTCTTGTACAGCCCTGTAGCTCTTCACAGTCCTTTCAAGTACTGTTTCAATTAGCTTCTCAACATCCCTGGAAAGTAGTTAGGACTCATAACAATCTTTCTCTGACAGAAGAAGAAACAGAGGAATTCTGAGGTTAAATAACTGTCCAGGATCACACACAAGAGTGGCTAGAATTAGACCCCAGGCCACATGCTGTTCAATTCTAGTTCTCACAACCAGATCATACTACTACAAGTCATGGGAAAAGGTTTACTTATTTCCAGATAAAGTCTCCAACTGCCTCCAGGACAAAGTCACCCACCCTCAGACTCTATTCCCTATACAGAGAAGAATCTCTGGATAAAACAAGCAAAATTATGCCTCCACATACTGTCAGACTTTGACATTAAGAATACATTTTCCAGTGCCCCATGGGTACCAGCTCACCTCCAGGAAAAGCAGAGAGCTGGAACTATGTCTCCATCACACAGTACTGCCATCAGTTGACCTCAACTTGAAGTTCTCCGTTTAAAATCTTAATTCAGCTCAGTGCCCGAAGCACAGTGGTTACGGCGCCAGCCACATACACCAAGGGTGGCAGGTTTGAACCCAGCCCAGGACAGCTAAACAACAATGGCAACTGCAACAAAAAATACAAGAAATAACTGGGCATTGTGGCAGGTGCCTGTAGTCCCTGCTACTTGGGAGGCTGAGACAAGAGAATCACTTAAGCCCAAGAGTTTGAGGTTGCTGTGAGCTGTGACACCATAGCACTCTACCAAGGGTGACATAGTGAGACTCTGTCTCAAAAATAAATAAATAAAATTTTAATTCTAACTCTTTCTCTCTGTGTGAGATTAGGCATGTAACAACATCTCTGAAGCTCCATTCTCTAATGATATAAGAACATATAAAGCATCCAGTTCTGTGTCTGTCACATAGCAGATGGATAATATTAGTTCCAATTGTCATCCTTTCTGGTCCTGCTGGGCACATTTTGGATGTTCTGGGCTCAGAATTCTCCATCCAGGAGAATGGGAAGAAGAGATCTTGCTCATATCAGCCAATGAATAACAACCAGGCTATATAGATGGAAGAAGGGCTTCTTAACTAGCAACATAGATACTTTTCTTTCTAGCTAGATATCTCTAAATTCACCCAATTTACTTCATGTAATATCATCATACTAAGAAGAGTTTAGAATCAATGGAAATTCTTCATGCCAAACCTCTATAAAGCTGTGGTAAAGGATAGGAGAATGCTTTCAAATTCTAAGATACAGTCCACAGTTTACTGCAGTATCTTGGAAAGGAGGCAGTGATTATCATCACAGCCTTGAGGGAGCAATCACCAAATTAACTCACAGACTCAGTAACAAGTATAAACTTTGTATTTCTATAGCTGAGATTAGGGGACCTTTGTAGAAGTAATTGTACCCTCCTCTTATCTCTGGCTGTGTACCAATAAGTATTCTATCAAGATGGAAGCACACCAGCGCATAGAGAAAGAGTTTCTACTGGTGAATGAAAATAGAAAGGCTTCCCTGGAGGAACTAGGACCTGACTCTCAATATTTCAAATGCAATAGACATTCCTCTAAGCTGATAAGTGCCAACCACTTAAAGCTATTTAGTGGTCTATTTCTTACCTAGGCAAAGTAAACTCCTGTGTAAGATACCCTCAAAAATATCATCTACTAAAATAAAATGAGATGACAGGAGCTGGTTTTATTGATTTCCCTATATACTAGATAACTTAGATTAACTTTAAAATGATCACAGATCTTTCAGCCCTTACCTTAGACAGGGCCCAGGGCTCTGGTCTTGGACCCAGATGTGTCAGGGGAGATGGGGCAGGGCAATCTTCTAGGCTTTTATCTGACAATTGGGTCCAGAGTAGTTAGCCACCGAAGAGTGGAGAAATTTACCATCAGAAATATGGGGAAATTTCATGAGGAAACAATTTGCCACTGAAACTGGCCTATTGTCAGGTTTTCTATGACCCTAAACTGTCCAAGAAAAGTTCTCTTTCCAGCTAGATAATTCTAAGTCCACTCAGTTTTACTTGCTATGATCTCATTATACTAAGATCTTATTATGCTAAGAGTTTAGAGTGGATAGATATTCTTCATGGTTAAACCTCTACACAGCTGGAGTCAAGAAGGGCAGAGGGATGATTCCACCTTCCAGGAGCAGCCCATTGCTCACTCAAGCACCTCAAAAGGAGACACTGTCCAAGGGTTGGAGAATCAGGGAGAATGGAATGGTTTCCCCATTCCTAAGGAGCAGGCAGACTCCACAAATCTGAAAGGGAATGGGGAATGGTAAGGCTGGGAATGGCAAGGAATTAGGGAAGATTCCATAGGAATTTTAAAAAGTATTATGAGTAATACCAGTCTGGGTAGCCTCAGTTTCTGGTATCTATAATAGTAAATTCCTTTTGACTGGTTAATCAGTGTGTGGAAACTAAGTGAAGAAGCAAATGTAAGTGGGACAAAGACAGGCCTCAACAGAGTTCCTACTCTTGCCTCATAGCTTGCTTCCAGGATGCTGAGGCCTGCCCATGCAGTGAGCTAACTGAGCATCTCTCATGTTTGCTTATGAGGAATACCAGTAGTTAGCTAATTCACTTCTAAAGGAGTCATAATCCTAACCTCCACAGAAAATTCCATCCCCAGATAGGAGGTCTCTATGTAAGAGATCTTCAGAGAAGGAGAAGCAATATCCTCCCTGTGCCAGCACCTTCTGTAATCTTTTTTCTTGTGTTTTGTTCTCAGAGAACATGGGGAGTACAATAACTTTTGCTGAGAATCCTTAGAATGAGTGTGCTCTTCTCTCTCCATCACCCTCTTCTCTCACCATCACTTTCCCTGACTCAGTTAAAGGAATCAGAGAGCACAAGCCCTAAACAACTTGGTGAGAATTCAGTGTAAAGGAAGAGCCTGGGGAGAAGCAGAAGTCTTTGACTGGCCCAAGAACCAGTCTGATGACCAGACACTACAGTGAACTGGCTGGGGTGGATTCTGCAGGCAACTCACCCAGTCCCTTGGGGAGCAGCCAGGCAACTATACATCTTCTGGCAGTGCTTATCAGGCTAGCCAGACTGCAAGATTAACCCACAGTGATCAGGTAGGAGGAGGTCCAAGCAAAAGGGGAAAAGTGGAGTTGGCAATCATTGGGCAGAGCAGAGAAGAGGTGTAAGGGGAGAAAAGAAGGCTATCAAGGGAGCACTAATTAGAAAGTGGTTTAGAGTGATGTCTAAGGGCCAGCAGTGCAGGTGAGGGATGGGAGTAGAAGTGACATGGCACGGATGGAGGTAAGGACAAAGGAGACTATAAAGAAGAGTTAGCACAAGGTTCATGGGGTACTTGGTCTGGGAGGAAACATCAAGAATAGGGTCATATGGAAGAGCAAGGTTGTGAGAACAGGGCAGGACTTGAGGATACAATGGAGTACAGGGCTGGGCAGGGACTGGGGCGGATGTTTGGGGGTGGTTCGGTACTGTGAGATAGAGCAGAAGTAGGGGAGAGGACTTTGAAGGACGGGGCTGCAGAAAACACACCAGTAATTGGGGGTGTAGGAGGACAAGAAAGGGACCAAAGGAAAGGACCCTAGCGAGGCCAAAGGCTAGGCAGAGGCTAGGAAGAAGGCAAAGATGACGGGCTGCATTGCAGAGGCGGAAGAGCTGGAAAGACCGATATAGAGGAAAGGCGATGGTGCACCAGGATAGCGTTCAAGACTTCTGTCACAACAGGGCTTGGACCCCAGCCCCATTTACCCACACATTTTGGCACCTACCGCCACCTGTGAGCTGGAGCAGGAGAAGATGCGCTTCATGACCGGGGACAGGGCCACAGGGGGACGGGGACGCGCAGAGAGCCGGGCCACAGGTCTGAACCCACCGGACTCGGATGCGGCTGTGGGAGACAACTGTCAAAAGTCAGAGCAGGACCCGCCCCAGGACCTGCCCCGCTCAATCAGAGATGAGAACCCGAGGGCTGGGTTTAAAACACCGCCCCTGGCCCCGCCCCGCCCCGCCCATGCAGAACCGAAAAGCCCGCAGTGCTCCGCTGCGACAAGGGCTTGGTCTCAAACCTTCCCTCCTAATCTGAATCCGCCCCCGGATCCGACCTAGTGCTCTAAGGGTACAGGGACCGGCGAGCTCCGTCTGAGACTCCGCCCCCGGCTTCTCCCGTCCGCAGCTCCAGGCCGGCTCCGCCCCAAACCCCGCCTCCGCCCCGCCCCTCGGAGCAGCACCGAAGGAGGAGGGCGGTCCCGGCTTCTCCAGTGGGCTTCGGTTTTGCCAACTGTCGCGTTTAACCGCTTGTGACGTTACTTCTGCTCTGCCCACGAGCCCCACATCCCCTCCTCCAGTCCCAGGAGGAAAACTTCAGCACAAAAGAGGATTTGAAGAGAGCAGTTTGGAAACGGGAGGAGATTGTGGTGCCAAGCAAGGCGTTAGCGCGGATAATGCGTGATTGGGTGCAACCTGGGGAACGAAACCTGTGAGAAAGGAGATCAAACTCAATTTTTTAACGTACCTCTGAATTAGAAAAGGGCTGAGGGGGAGGAAGAGAAGTTTTTTAAATTTTAATCATCGCGGCTCGGCACCTGTGGCTCAAGCGTCTAGGGCGCCAGCCACATACACCTAAGGTGGTGGGTTCGAATCCAGCCCGGACCCGCCAAACAACAATAATGGCTGCAACCAAAAAATAGCTGGGCGTTGTGGCGGGCGCCTGTGATCCCAGCTACTTGGGAGGCGGAGGCAGGAGACTCGCTTGAGCCCAGGAGTTGGAGGTTGCTGTGAGCAGTGAAGCCACGGCACTCTGCCCAGGGGGACAGCTTGAGGCTCTGTCTCAAAAAAAAAAATTCTTTTTTTAAAGCATCGCTTCGGCAAAAATAAACATTTAAAAAAAAATTAAAGCCAAAAAATAAAATCCTGTCCTCACTATTTTCACTGCTGTTTAAGTTCAGATTCTCAGTAATTCTTGCTTGGTCAGGCACAGCAGCCTGGTCTCTCCTTTTTCCTCCCTGCAGTCCTAGAGAGCCCATTAAATAAAATACAGGTGAACATCTGCAGAATAAACCCAGCGTTTTTCGTTTGTTAAACATAGCTCACAGCAACCGTGGCATCATAGCTCACAGCAACCTCAAACTCTTAGGCTCAAGCCATCCTCTTGTCTCCCCAGTAACTGGGACTATAAGCGCCGGTCAACGCCCAGCTGGTTTTGTTTTCTATTTAGTAGAGATCGGGGTGGGGGTTAGGGGCGTCTCACTTTTGCTCAGGCTGTTCTAGAACTCCTGAGCTCAAAGGATCCTCCCCAACTGCCTCCCAGAATGCTCTGATTACAGGCATGAATTACGGTGCTGCCCCCAGAACTTAACATAGTTTTTATAAGGCTCTTCAGGAGCAGAACTTTGCCTTCTTTCCCAGTCTCTTCTCTCATTGCTTTCACCAAAGAGCCAAAATACTCAGACTATTCTAATTTACTACAATTCCACTTTCAGCTGATGATTATTTCTCTCTGTATTGACTCCTCTTACAATTGGCCCCCACAGGCCAATTTTTTATTTCTGTAGTTTTCCCTTATAATCCTGCCACCCCTAACCCCCAACAAAGTGTGCCTCTTATGTGTGACATACTCCTAGTGCTTACTTATACATTACAACCAACTCTTTGTATTTGCCATTGTTTACATCTTTGTTTTCCCCTACTAGACAGGGCTCTTTGATGGTAGGAATTGTGTTCCATATTACTCCCACTGACTAGCAAAATATTAGGTTCTTAATGTCCACTAAGTGAAAGAATGATAAAAATGAATGAAGAAAAGGCGCAATAAGAAGAAGAAAGGAAGGAACACTGGGGTTGGTTCTCAAACTGGTACTGCTCTAAAGGAAGAATAACAAGCCTGCTGAAGAAGAGCTTGGGTTGGGCTGCGCCTGTGGCTTAGTGAGTAGGGCGCCAGCTCCATATAGCCAGGGTGGTGGGTTCAAACCCGGCCCCGGCCAAACTGTAACAAAAAAATAGCCTGGCTTTGTGGAAGGTGCCTGTAGTCCCAGCTACTCAGGAGGCTGAGGCAAGAGAATCATCGCCTAAGCCCAGGAGTTGAAGGTTGCTATGAGCTGTGATGCCACAGCGCTCTACTGAGGGGGATAAAGTGAAAAAAAAAAAAAAAAAGAATAGCTTGGGGTTAAAGAAAGGCCCCCACCAGAGCTGAGAGGATGAATAGAGCGGAATCTCCTAGGTGGACTAAGAATTTTTTTTTCCTGAGACAGAGTCTCATTTTATTGCCCTTGGTAAGTGCCGTGGTGTCACTTACCAAAGGCAATCTCCAACTCCTGGGCTTAGGAGATTCTCTTGCCTCAGCCTCCCGAGTAGCTGGGACTACAGGCACCTCCCACAACACCCGGCTATTTTTTTGTTGTTGTTATTGTTGCAGTTTGGCCGGGCCCTGTTTGAACCCGCCACTCTTGGTATATGGGGCCTGCGCCCTACTCACTGAGCCACGGGCACCGCCCAGGTGGACAAAGATATTAAAAGTGCTCTGTTAGAATTAAAAATAGAACTACAATGGCTTGGCCCCCATAGCTCAGCAGTTAGGGCACCGGCCACATACACCAGGGCTGGCAAGTTCCAACCGGCCCAAGCCTGCTAAAAACAACAATGACGACAACAACAACAACAACAACAAAAATAGCCAGGCACTGTGGCAGGTGCCAGTAGTCCCAGCTACTTGGGAGGCTGAGGCAAGAGTATTGCTTAAACCCAAGAGTTTGAGGTTGCTGTGAGCTGTGGTGCCACAGCACTCTACCAAGGGTGATATAGTGAGACTCTCAAAAAATAAAAATAAAAATAGAACTACCATTAGATCCAGCAATTGCACTAATGGGGATCTACTAAAAGGAAAAGAAATCATTATGTCAAAAAGATACCTTTATTGTAGCACTATTCACAATAGGGAAAACATGGAATCAGCCTAAGTGTCCATCAGCAGATGAATGGATAAAGAAAATGTGGTATATATACACATATACTGAAATACTATTCAGCCATAAACAAGAATGAAATCATGTTTTTGGCAGCAACATGGATGGAACTGGAGGCTATTGTCTTAAGTGAAACAGCTCAGGCACAGAAAGTCACATACTACAAGTTCTCACTATTGGGATCTAAATAATAGTAATATATGCACATGGATATAGAGCATGGAATCATGGCCAATGAGACTTGGAAGGAGGAGAGGGTGTAGAGAGGAGGTGATGAGAAATTAATGTATACAGTGTACATTATTTAGGTGATGGAGCCACTAAAAGCTCAGATTTTACCACTATGCCATATATTTATGTAACAAAATTGCACTTGTACCCCTTAAATTTATACAAATTATTTATTTCTTTATGTATTTTTTTTTAGACAGAGTCTTACTTTGTCGCCCTCAGTAGAATGAGAGTGCTTGGTGTCATAGCTCACAGCAACCTCAAACTCTTGGGTTCAAGTGAGTCTCTTGCCTCAGCCTCCCAAGTAGCTAGGACTACAGGTGCCTGCCACAACACCCAGTTATTTTGAGGGACAAGGTCTTGCTCTAGCTCAGGCTGGTCTCAAACCCGTGAGTTCAGGCAATCCACCCACCTTGGCCTCCCAGGTGCTAGGATTACAGGCTTCAGCCACTGGGCCCAGCTATGTATTTATTTTTGAGACTCTTTCTCACTTTGTCACTCTGGGGTTGAGTGCCATGGTGTTATCATAGCTCACAGCAACCTCAAACTCTCGGGCTCAAGAGATCCTCCTGCCTCAGCTTCTCAAGTAGCTGGGACTACAGGCACCTGCCACAAGGCCCAGCTAGTCTCCTTTCCCTTCCCTTCCCTTCCTTTCCCTTCCCTTCCCTTCCCTTCACTTCCCTTCCCTTTCCTTCTTTCTTCACAGACTGAAGCTGTCACCCTGGATAGAGTGCTGTGCCATCATAGCTCATAGCAACCTCCAACTTGAGCTCAAGTGATCCTCTTGCCTTAGTTTTTCCATTTTTAGTAGAGATGGGGGTCTCGCTTTTTGCTCAGGCTGAACTCATGAGTCAATCCACCCACCTTGGCCTCCCAGAATGCTAGGATTACAGGTGTGAGCCACCTGACCCGGCCTACTTTTTTTTTTTTTAGTATAGATGGGGTCTCACTCTTTCTCAGGCTGGTCTCAAACTCCTAAACTCAAGCAATCCTCCCACCCTGGCCTCCCAGAGTGTTAGGATTACAGGCATGACCCACCTACTGCTCCGGCCTAAAATTTTTTTTAATTAAAGCACTTAAAATTAAATACATGGACTTATCAAAAAAAATTAAAACAAACTTTGAGGAATATAAAGCCTTATTAAAATGTTGCTGGTGCTGCATGGATTTAATTTAAACCAAAGTCAAAGTATAAAGTTTCCTCTGACTTGACCATTTTTCTTTGTTTCACTTTTGAAAATATGTTGTGAGACCATGTGGTTGTGGTCAGTCACACCTGTAACACTCTGGGAGGCCAAGGCGGGTGCATTGCTTGATCTGAGGAGTTTGAGACCAGCCTGAGCAACAGCTAGACCCCTTTTCTACTAAAAATAGAAAAGCTAGACGGTATCATGTTGCACACCTGTGGTTCCAGATACTCGGGAGGCTGAGGCAAGAGGGTCACTTGAGCCCAAGAGTTTGAGGTTGCTATGAGCTATGATAATGCCACAGTACTCTATCCAGAGTGACAGAGTAAGACTCTGTCTTGAAAAAAAAGAGAGAGAGAGAAAAGAAAAAGAAAATATTTTATGATTGTCACACAATTCCCCAAATTTAGATAATTGGCTGGGCACAGTGGA